AACTGAGGAATGAATAACCAAACCATGGTACATACACACAATGGAATACTATGCAACACTAAAGAATAATGTAGAATCTGCAAAACACTGCGTAACATGGATGAACTTAGAGAACATTATGCTGAGTGAAATAAGTCAATCACAAAAGGATAAATATTGTATCTTTTTGCAACCTCATTCGTTATTTTTCTTTTTGCATTTTTCTCATTTTAATTTCTCATTGTCTTCTCACCGGCATGGTTTCTGCCAAGAAATCTGAGCTTAGTCTTACTGGTTGCCCTTTGTAGGTAACTTTTCTTTTTTCCTGTGCTGCTTTCAGAATTCTTTCTTTGTCTTTGGTTTTGGTGACTTTGATGATGATATATCCTGGTGATTTTCTTTTGGGGTCTATCCTGTTTGGGGTTCATTGGACTTCTTGAATGGATCTGTTCTCATCATTCATCATCTTTCAGATTCTCTTCCAACAAGTCAACAGTGTTTTTCTGTGGTTTTATTAATCTCTTCTTGTTCTGGAATTCCAGTTACACGTAGGTTATTCCTTTTGATGGTGTCCCACATGAACCTTAGGCTTTCTTCATTTTATTTTGATTGTTTTTCTGCTTGGTCACTTTCTAAAGAAGTATTGAGGTTTTTGCCTTCAATCTCTCTAATTCTTTCTTCCATTGATTCAGTTCTACTCTTTTGCCCGCTTAATGTGTTATTTCTGCCTGTAGATTTTGTATAATTTCTAATTTTTCATTTATTTTGTCATTCTATTCTTGTATTGTCTTTCGAAATTGTTGTAGAGTTTTCTCTGTATTTTCTTCAATTTTGTCAGTGTTTTCATTGATCTATCTCTCAATTCATTAAACGTACCTAAATATAATTCTTTTGAATTCCTTATCAGGGAGTTCCAGTGCTGTGTCTTTCTCAGTGATTTGGTTTGGGTCTGTATCCTGGTCCCTTGTCTCTCCTGCTTTATCTTACTTCTTTGTGTGGACTGTGATGCTCTGTTGTCTCCAAGGCATTGTGACATTTTTGTGTTTATATTTAATTGGTGATTGTATGTTGGAGTGACTTGCCCACAATTTTTGTTTTCTTTGGATGTTATTTACTTAAACAGGGTACTGTGCTGTGCAGAGAGGTGCTGCCCACCAGGAGCCCCTTTCATAGGAAAATGAGACAAGGTTTGTGCTGTTTCCTTCAAGGTGACCCAGGAAGCAGATAGAATAATTGGAGATTTAATGGAAGATGTCAGGATCAGTGAATCTGTTGCTGAAAATAAAACTGGGCATTTCCCCTTTCGTCTTTAATAAATGTAATCTTTAAACAGGCATCTCATTTCTTTCCTTCTGTTGTCTTTTCAGATTGCAGCAGTTACTTTCTGGGTTTATGGGAATGAGGCAGAGGAATAATTGAACTCCACAGAATTTCTCAACCTATACATTAGCTATTAATTTCACTATTTTTCCATCTCTACCCTTTCTAGGTGTATTAGTTTTTTTTTGTTGTTGTTATTGCTGTCATTGTTTTAAGAGTTATAAAGAAAATGTCCCAGTGACCAAGGAGCTTTCTGAAGTTGGTTTTGTGGGATTGTTTCAAAACCAAAAATTTGTGTTGATTATGGGGGTGAGAACAGGTGTGTGATAGAAATACATATCTAGCTCCAGTCAAGAGAAGGGAGAAGGGTCCTAATTCCTGCCTTGATTCATGTAAAAAAAGAAAAAAATATCTCGCCAGAATTAATGGAAATTATGGAGATTTGTGGGATGATATGTTAGCAAAGGAATGGTATAAAGAGGTTAATCTATCCACCAAGCAAGCCAAAAGGCAGATGTGCGATATTCAGACTAGCTGAAGGTATGTGTTTCTTTTTATGTGTAATCTCCTGGAGTGTCAAGTTTCTATATTAAAGAATTTTTATAGGGAGGTCCTATGCCAGCATCTCTGTTAGTTCCTAATGATTGTGAAATCAGAGCTTTTTGAAGCTAGACAAGATTAAAGAGATCATTTATGGCGATTCAGCTGTCTTAGAGAGGGCATTACTTTCATCCAGGGCCTACTTCCTGTTAAATGTTCTTGCCACCACTGCACAAGTGTGTCTGTTTCTGTGACTCAGTTCTACTTATAGACACTATAAAAGATACCACATTAGAGGTAGAAAGGTCTCTCCCATACTGGGCCACCCATAATGAGTCCTTAAATAAGAAAGAATTGCTGGCAATTTGAGTTTCTGATGGGTGTTTAATTTTCTTTTCTGTTTTTAATATATTTTTTAAAATAAGCTACCTTTGTTTAATTTGAATTTACATATTTTTCAGTTCAAATCTGAACATCAACGATGTCCTGGGGAACTATTCATTGACTCTTGTTGATGCATTGGATACACTTGCAGTAAGTCTTCAGCCTTATTATCACTATCTTTTCTAAAAAAATATTAATTAAAGTAAGATATAGAGAGGTACATGGGTGGTACAGACAACAAAGATAAACCCTTTTGCGTGTACAGTACTGTGTTGTCAGTGATGGCAAGCATTGATCTATGGGTGGATGGATGGGTAGACAGGCTGGAAAAAAAAATTAAAGTAAGATGTTTAGGAGTTCATTCCCCCTGGATTCCCCCAGGGACATGAATTCCAGAGAACCCAACACTCAAAATGTATTGAAAGCTATTATTGACTTTAATTACCTTAATGGAGAGAGAGAAAAAACTATCAGAAGTTAGGGGAATTGTCCTTAAAAAAATGGAGAAGAAATATTTGATTGCTTTTAGTGGACTTATTTTTCTCCCAATTTCCCACTATTTCACTCCCTAAAGGAATCTATAGAGAATTTCATTCATACTTACAGTTTCTGTAATTAAGATTTCACAAGTTGGCCCCAAACCAAACCCGTTGCCATTGAGTTGATTCTGACACATAGTGACCCTGTAGGATAGAGTAGAACTGCCCCATGTGTTTTCCAAGGCTGGAAATCTTTACAGAAGCATACTGCCTCATCTTTCTTCCAAGGAGCAGCTGGTGAGTTCAAACAACTGACCTTTTAGTTAGCAGCCAAATACTCTAACCACTGCACCACCAGAGCTCTTTCACAAGTCAGAACCAACCAAAAACCAAACCTTCTGCCATCAATTCGATTCTGACTTATAGTGAGCACCAGAGGGTTTCTAAGGCTGTAAATCTTTACGGAAGTAGATTACCTCATCATCTTTGCTTGGAACAGCTGGTTGATTTGAATTGCCAACCTTTTGGTTAGCAACCAAGTGCCTTACCCATTGCACTACCAGAGCTCCCTCGCAAGTCAGAAATATGATCAAGTTACTGATTCCCAGAAGTGGGGCTGAGCCTTGCTGTCAGCCCATGTGTGGATGACTCTCTCTGAACACTCTGTTTACTCTTTCTTGTCTCGTGGACACTGCCCACTCCAGACTTAGACTGTGACTTAGGTGCTGCCCCACCTCCTCATCTCGTAGTTTCTCTCAGTGACTCTGGGGAACTGGAGACCTTTGGACAGATACATAGAAACATGTTGAAAGCGGTAAAACATTACAGAAATGTTGATGGGCTTCATCACCTTGTGCCACACAATAGTTTCCACAGGACTGCCAGCATTGTCTGTAAATCTCCTTAGTGAAGGTGATTTCACAGTCTCTTCATTAGTAAGCTTTTACTGTTATAAATTCTTACTGCAGTTTAGCCCAGATCCCACATTCAATCATTTACTCTTCCCCTTTTCACTGCCATCAAGTCAGATCTGACTCACAGCGACCCTTCTTGGGTTTCCACATTGGTTATCACTACAGAAGTAGATTGCCCAACCTTCTTTCTGAGGAGCAGCTGGTGGGTTTGAACCATTAGCCTTCTGGTTAGCAGTCAAATGCCTTAGGCACTATGCTACCAGATCTCCTACTCTTCCCTTAGAAGAGTTTAAAGCTATTTGTTAGGGGTTAGAATTGAGTAATGATAGCTAAATTTGCATTACAGTTGTGTCTTGCTAGTAACTGAATAACTAGAGCTTGTCAAGAGTTGCAGAAATCTCTCTACAGTTTCATTTCAGAAATAAATAGCAGAAATGGGGCTAGGCCCTTAGCCAATAGGAAACCCAGGGTATCCAGGGTATTTCCTGACCTTCTCCTCTACTAGCTGTAGCTGCAACACATTTTAGTTTCCCAACATCTCTTTCAGAAATTACATCTCTACTTCGGTCATCTACTGTCCTGAGCAAAATGTGCCCAGAGAAGTGTGTTCAGCTTAATTGAAATTAACTTGTCGAGGACACCAGAGGCTGACTCAACCTGCAGATGGTACTTAGAAAAAGTCCTCCGACTCATGTATACAAACCAAACCAAACACACTGCCATCGGACCCAACTCATAGTGACCCCTCCTTGGGTTTCCGAGGTGGTATCACCACAGAAGTAGATTGCCCAACGTTCCTTCTGAGGAGTGGCTGATGGCTTTGAACCACCAGCCTTCTGGTTAGCAGTCAGATGCCTTAGGCACTATGCCACCAGTGTTGGAAAATTCACCCCTTCTTCCTCACCTCCCCTTTTTTGCCCCATTTTGTCTTTTTTATCCCTCCGCCAAGCTTATCAAGCACAGAGATCTTAAGTATACCGTTCATTGCACTCTTCTCTACACCTGGTAGTTTCTGGTACATAGTAGGAGTGCAAATATTTGTTCAAGAAACAAATATTTTCAGCATTTCCTGGCACAGATTCCAAAGGCATGCTCCCTGAAAGAAGAGTGGTGTTCTCAAATAAACCTGACAAATTTGCGTCTGTCCCATTGTCTCTGGGTGGTGCAGATGGTTAACACACTTGGTTGCTAACCAGAAAGTTGGAGGTTTGAGCCCACCCAGAGGTGCCTTGGAAGAAAGCCGTGGTGATCTACTTCCAAAAAATCAGCCATTAAAAACTTATGGATTGGATTGTGTCTCCTGAAAGTATGCATTGAAATCCTAACCTCTATGCTGGTGGTTATAATCCCATTTGGGAATGAGTTGTCTTTTGTTATATTAATGAGATAGGGTTAGTGTAGTCACTTCTTTTGAGATAAAAGAGATGAGCAGAGAGAGAGATTGGGGTAAGATAGATGCCAAGAAACATGAAGATCTCCAAGGAATCGGGAAGTAGAAGCTGAAGAGACAAGAACCTTTCCTCAGAGCTGCCAGAAAGAAAGCCTTTCCCTAGAGCTGGTGCTCTGAATTTGGACTTCTAGCTTCCTAAGCAGTGAGAAAATAAATTGTTTGTTAAAGCCATTCACTTGTGATATTTCTGTTAAAGCAGCACTAGATAACTAAACCTTTGGAACTCAGTTCTATTCTGATGTGTGTCGGTGGAACTGATTTGACAGCAACTTGGTTTTTGGTCACTGTTAGAGAGCCACAAAGCATATCAGTGTTTTAAAGACTGAGAAATTCCGCAGTAAAAAAACCTATTTAAACCTCTGTTCAATTCAGCTTTTCAAACCAAACCTAAGTGAATGAATTTCATAGCCTGGTTGCTCTGAGCTCTGTAGCTGTCTGTCTAAAATGATAAATTATAATATATAATTAAGAGATACTGGCTTCCTTCACTGTCCTTCCCTTGATCTGAGGTCATATCTGCATCTGCAGCTGCTAGCAAACTGTTGTTGAAGATTTATAAGGAACAAACCCCTTTTTGTGGTTTCCATTGTAGACGTATCTGGCTGTTAATATGTTAGTGCTCCAGGCTTGTTTTTCAGATGTTACTTATGTTGAGGGTTTCCTTTTCTGTTGCTAACATTTTAAACAAGCTCTAACAGATGTGTTGCAAAAATTCTCATGAAATAGTAATCTCATGACTGCTGGATGCAACTTGGCAGCATTATTGCATAATCTTCGTAAAAGAAAAAAACGAAAGCCAGAAAAGAGTAGTCAGTGCTTGTTTTACATGTTATAGCAAAATACCAATGAGGTGTGTGTGTGTGTGAGTGTGAGTGAGACATAGAAAATCAATAAATACTAGAAATAAGACATGCTTGAAAGAAGTAGCGTCTGAATGAAATTGTTTTTCTTTTTTTTTTTTTGGTGTCCTTATGATATCATTATAATCCTAGGATTGTCACATAATCTCGAATAGAATAAAATAATTTCAATTCAGGTTCTTCTATAAACTTTTATGTGCAATTTGTACTTCTTACAGGAGAGGGTATCATGGTAAGACATCATATCAACACACCTATTTTGGTTACCTGGTGCCACTCTGACAGGAATATACCACAAATGGAATGGCTTGAACAAATAGGAGTTTATTCTCTTACAAGTTTGGAGGCTTTAAGTCTGAGTTCAAAGTGCCAGGCTCTAGGTGTTGGGTGAAAGCCCCTCAACCTTGGGCTTCAGCAACTGCCTCCTGCTTCTGGCCCACTGAACCTGGAGGCTTTTCTCCACTCAGGCAGCTGCTGGCTGCTGAGGCTGACAAACCCAAGTTCAACAAGTGGAAAGGCACAGTCCCCATATCACCAAACACGGTAGGCCACTAATTCAAGTCCAGAAAAAGTCTGGAGATCGGCAGGGCATGGCAGGCTGTTGTGTTACATGCAGGGTTCAAGTGTGCCAAAAAAGCTAGGGACTATCCTCAAAGCTGCTTCTTGTGTACTGGAAGCAGACCACATCCCTAAAGCAGCTACTCAGCTGCTCCAGTAGATTCCACCATGGAGTTAAATACCATTCTCACCATGGGGAATAACTACATCCAGCTGCCCAGCCACTCAACCAGGCCCAGCCAAGTTGACATATAACCTTAACTGCAGCAACACCCAATAAAGGAACAGGAATTTTGGATCACATCTTAAAAAAAAAATTAGGGCTGATTATTTGTATGTTTTGTTAAGGTCATTGTTTTTGTGCTGTGCTCCAAAGGGTACCACTGCTGTAGATAAACAGGAGGTCCCTCTGTTTAGCTATCTGTACAATAAGCAACAAGTTTAATCAGTTCTAACTTGGTCGTTTTTTTCTCCTGGGAACCAAGTACCCAAAGTGTCTATTTATTTGAGGAACAGAATGCAACTCCTGTTTGTTTGCTCAATTTTTTTTCTGTTTTACCCATTCCAGAATTTTTAGGCACTCCAATGCCCTACATGTTAAGTAAGACCAGAGTGAAGATGGAGGGAGAGTAGAGGGAAGGAGAATGCCAGTGGTTTTATGAGGAATTGTTTTTACTGTTTTGCCATTTGGACAGCAGATTCTAGAGCTGGATCAGTTAGAGGGTACAGGTTTGCCATCTGTCATGACATGTACCTGAGAAATAACTGCTTTTTCTGCCTTTTGTGCTTCTACTCCCATGGGTGGCAGAATCACACCTAGACATTTAGACCAAGTGGCCCAGCTTCTGAGAACACGTAGCCTTAGTTTCATTTCAAGCTGTTGTAATGGTTTATGTTCCTCTTTTTACAGATAATGGGAAATTCATCTGAGTTCCAGAAAGCAGTCAAATTAGTGATCAACACAGTTTCATTTGACAAAGATTCCACTGTCCAAGTCTTTGAAGCCACAATAAGGTAAAATAGTACATGAAATGGATTGAAAGTTTCTTAGTGTGTGTATGTAAGAAGAAAAATTCTCCTAGCCACAGAATCCAGAAAGTGAGCCCCGTGTAGTCCTCATGGGTACCATGTCCATGTTTCGTTTTAATTTTTATGTTTATTAAAACTAGAACAATTGGTGTGTCAAAGTCATTACATTTTGGACTAAACAGAAAACACCTGAGCTTTAATGGGGGTGTAAGATAGGTGTCCCTTTAATGCAATTTTATGTGGTATCCCTTATGTCTGCTTTCATCTTCTTCCTTCTTGTCCTAGAAAAGCCCCTACACATTTCTCAAGGAAGTGACAGTTTCCTATCTCACCTACCACCCACAGAAAACCACTGTTTACCATTGTGGTGTATTTCCTTTATTATAATCTGTCTCTTGCTAGTCTCTCTCCCTTTTTAATGTATTAGGAACCTGCACTACACAGTTTTTTATCTTGCTTTTATAGCTTAGCATATTGTAACTGTTTTCCTGTTTCACTTAAACTTTTTGCAAATTGTGCTAATGGCATGAATTCCAGTTTATAGATGTAATATTTATTTAAAACTGAACTTACAAATATGGTTGTTCTGAACAATGTCACAGTCCCTTCAGATTATTGAAGTGAGACAGGGTCTACATGGACGGTGATCTGTGTTGGTAGCCTTCTACCTTTGAGTGGGTCATTTTCTCCTCCTCCTCATCTTGCCTCTTTATTTATTTATTTTAAACGTTTTATTGTAATCTGGGTGAAAGTTTACAGAGTAAATTTGTTTTCCATTCAACAGTTCATACATGTTTTGTTTCATGACATTGATTGCAATCTTCACAGTATAACAGCTTTTTTCCCACTTCTTCCCTGCGTCCTTCTTTCCTAGGCATTCGTACCTTCTGAGCCTATTCCCTTTAAATGCTGTCCTTCTTTCTCCCATGGTTGATTGTTCTAGGGAATGTACCTGGTGTAATTGTTCACCTTGTGGGCCTATCTGTTATTAGGGTTGGAAGTTAAGCTAAGGGAGTGAGTTCAATTCCAGGCCTGAAGGGTGACTAGGGACCATAGTCTCAGGACTCTCACTAGTTTTTATCAGACCAGTGAGCCTGGTCTTTTTTTTTTTTTAATTGTGATTTGGGTGAAAGTTTACACAGCAAATTTACTTGCCATATAGCAGTTCACACACACATTGTCTCTTGACATTGACTACAATTTACCCCAGTGCAACAGCTCCCCTCCTACTTCGTCAAGATACCTCTTCCCTGTGTCCATCCTGCCATGCACCCCTGCCCCCTCAGCTGTCTCCCTGTGCATAAATAGCCCTTCTTTCTGATTATTCTCTCCAAGGAGTGTATCTACCTCCGGTACATGTTCAACTCATATGCCTGTCTTTTGTTTGGCTGGAAGCTACAGGTGTGGGTTCAATTCCAGACCTGAAGGGCAGCTAGGGACCATAGTCTCAGTGGTTCCACCAGGCTCTATCAAACCAGCAAACCTGGTCCCCTTTTTATTTCTTTTCCTGCAAAATGATTTTGAGTTTTGTTCCACATTGTTTTCCTTCTCTATCCAGGATCTCATACATAGATCCGCCTCCTAGTGGTTGATAATGATAGCTGGGCACCATCTAGTTCTTCTGGTCTCATAGTCGTATAGGCTGCAGATCGCATGTTGTACCAGTCACTGGGATTAATTGTTTCCATGAATCTTTGGTTTTCTTCATTTTTCTTTGCTCTGGACAAAGAAAGACCCATCGTTTCATCTAGATGGCTACTTGCAAGCTTTTAAGATCCTAGTCACTACTCGCTAAAGTAGGAAGTGGAACAGTGTTTTGTGTAGTATGTTATGCCAATTGAGTTTGATGTCCCCTGTGAGTATGTTCCTGAGTGCACAGGTTCAACTACTCAGTTCCTCTGGGTAGCTGGCTATGACCAAGAAGTGACTACAACCTTGTCCGTTGTCAGCTCTTCTATACCCCTGGGAATTTCTTATAGAATATACAAATACACTTGTAGAACCAACCATTGCCTGCCAACCCTATACATGGTCTTGGGTATACTCCCTGCTGCATAGGCATACCTAATAGTTCAGCTTGTCCACCCATCTATCCACCCATATACCCATGTTTGCCTTCACTGACAATGCAGTACTGTATGTGCAAAAGCGTTCATCTTTGTTGTCTGCACCTCCCATGTACCTCTCTATGTCTTCCTCTTCCTTAGTGGCACAATGTTGATTACTCACATTTGGTACATTGCCCTTCTCTTCATCCAAATCAATACCTATCTCTACCTATCTAACAGTGTTACCTACCCTCCCCTCCCACCTCTGGTAACCAACAAAGAAAATTTCCTTCCATATATAATCTGTTCCTTGACTTTGACAATAGCGGACTAATAGAATATTCGTCTCTCTGTAATTGACTTATTCACTCAGCATAAAGTCCTCCAAGTTCATTCATGTTATGTGATGTTTTGCAGATTCTACATCATTCTTTAGGGTTGCATAGTATTCCATTGTGTGTATGTACCAAGGTTTGGTTATCCATTCCTCAGTTGATGGACACTTAGGTTGTTTCCAACTTTTTGATATTGTAAATAGTATTGTGATGAGCATGGGTGTGCATATGTCTGTTCTTGTCATGGCTCTCACTTCTTTAGGATATATACCTAGTAATGGAATGGCTGGATCAAATGGTATTTCTATTTC